GATCATTGCTAACCTGACACCAGCGTTCAAGAAGGTCTTGTATTTGTATCCATGTCTGCAGATGAACTCCTGTCCGGCACCTCAGCCTACAATCTCCGCTACGACACTCCATCGCCACTGATGTCTCCGACCCCCAGTTCCCCAAACGAGGCCAACGAACACATGTCGTTGCGAGAGGCTCTTGAAGATCCTTCGGTGTGGCAATACTCAAATCAGGGCCCTCGCGAGGACATGGAGGAGCGCATAGAGAATCTTCGTCTCCGCAGTGAAAGGCTGAATGCCGAATCTGCGAACTGGATATCATCTTTGCGCTCCGACTCTGAACGTCGGCGGATAATGCGCCAGATGGTAGAACACGAAGACGAAGCAGAGGGTGATAATTGCGATCACGCAGCGGATGACTCTTACAGCGGTCCGGCCGGCATTTCTGCACCTACCCCACCGCCTTTTACCGTTACTACTGCTGCCAGCGAGGATGAAGACTCGGACTCCAACGAAGAAGTACCCAGTGCTGCCATCATGGCCGACCGCCTTCGAAGAGAAAGCCGTTGGCGTCCAGACAGCGACGACGATGACGATGAAGTCATTCCTCGCCTGGGTCCGCTGCGTCGCGCGCCGGCTCTCGACTACAGCACATACAGCGAATGGCGGGAGCGGAGAGAGCGCTATCTTGAGCCTATCCGAGCGTCTCGTGTAGCTGCGCCCAGCCGCATTGAACCTTCCGAACGAACCCACGACGAGCCACTCATACCCCCACATGCGCGCTTCTTCATTGCGAAGAACAAGAATAAGATCACAATCAAATTTCACCCTGCAATGTAAGTTTGGTCTGGTCACCCTGGGGAGCCATCGGTTTACTAACGCATCCTCCAGTTCGGGAAGACACGTCCTACTCAAGTTCTGGAGCCCGAAACACGACGGCAATATCGATATTGAGAGCGTCCAGTTCTATGGGTACTCCGGACCCCGCTACTTTCCGGCCGTGCAAGCTAGGTAGAGGGTACGTGCTGTTGTAAGGTTTTACATCGCATCTGTCCTTTTGAGGATCATGTTGGCATGAGTTAGAAAAAGGACAGGCATGTCTCTCACCGTGTCTGTTTGAAATGTGTCCTAGTAGTAGTGTGTGCAGTCTTTGAGTGGCAATGATACCCGGGTATGATACACAAATGTGTGACGATTGGTTTGGAGCATTTGGGGTTGTGTGGGAGTACTGGTGGTAAATACAACACATTCTTTCATCATTTAACTGCCAGTGTGAATGAAAGATCATCAGTTGAGAGACGTGCCTGGGCCTGTGATGAGTGAGCAGATGTAGTTACCCCTACGGATTAAGTAAGAAGGAGCGGCCGGGGATAATGACAGTGCTGATCTGCTATTCCCGTTCGAGATCAGACCACCTGGACGCTGACGCATTCATTTGAACTTCAAGCAACATCCACAACCACCTACCACGATAGCCACGTCTCAGCAACTTCCTGCGAATCGAACGACTGTCATCACGAGGCATGAGCGCTTACCCGCGCTGTATTGTGCAACGCAATGTCCAAAGATCCAGTCCATGTCGATGCGCAGGTGAACCCGCTCCCTTCTGGAGGAAATATGCAACGGAGACCCAGCAGTCGCACATAATACGCGTAAGGAACGCTTATTTACAGCTATTTGATCAGAATTATGCTAATGCGCACAGGTAGAGATGGAATTACAAGTAATTATGCAAAGGGTATAGTATCTTCCGTGGTGAATGGACACACATCAACACCTCGACGAACCCTGGCAAACCACCGTTATCGACTTACCAACCCACCAATGTACACACCCAAAGTCCCTCACGAAAAGACTTCAAATTCGAGCGCGAGCCCACAAGAACACATTAACGCCTCCGCAGAAACTGTATCGATGGCATCCATGTGCTCGGTTTTGGTCGGCTTCCGCAATTATGTTCAGTGGACGTAGTCGCCGACACATCCTTTCCTCTCCATTTCTACGAAAATACTTAGCCTACGTTCCCGACCGGTACTTTCAGAAGCGGCTTGCTGTCAATCCAAGTTACCTCGACATCGTATCGCATGCGCACTCTTCTGGGTTGCTGGAACACATTCCAAATGGACATATGTACGCTCCTAGACAGCGCCGACTGTTCGTCGTTTAGCAGTGGTTGACTATCTCTTACGTGGCGAAGGCTGCTGAGATCAGCACAGCAACGGACTCAGAGCCTCGACTTTCCATCTTCACGCGATTGGAGGCGGCAACGGCAACAGCGAACCTACACACGGCTCTGACGGCATTGTCTAACCTCGCGCTATGTTCTACCCGCAGTGGCTATTATAGAGCCGCCCTACTGGTTTGCCATGTCGCCGGTCATGCCAGTTAGAACAACGGTATGTTCCTGCCACGCCCCTAGCGTATGCAGCTAATGACGGCCTAGAAACTGTGGTAGCGCGGGCTGCCAAGACGACGCTGTAAAGCAATGCGCAGTGGGAACTTCGCCTCCGAGGAATCAACGTGATGTTAGCCACTTATGGCAGTCAACAGCAGTATCGTATAGGCAGATTTGCCGATGTCACACTAATTGTTGTCGATGAGACTCATGAACAAAACTTAGGTATCATACTCACTGATAGACTGTTCAGTCTTCCGTTCGAGCCGACACGATCCGTTGCTCTCAAGCTTCAACCAGTGGACCATGTATCACGCTTGTTGTACAAGACGCTTCCTCGGCAAGATGCTAGTCGACAGCCTATCACGAGTGGGTTCAGCCATTCTTGGCCTGCGTAGCTTTACCAAGATGATACCAGACAGATCCTACTTCAGGATGCTCCATGCATTGACAGCCAAACAATTCGATGGCCACTCCGGTCTTTCCGTTGAAGCACTATCAACAAATTCTAATTCTAATGCTAAGCTACGCATTGATGCTCCGACGTCAATGAGATACCAGGTTCAATGTTGGGAGGCTCTGCGTTCCCGAACAAGCCATTTGACAGCGAGGTTCAGACACACTACGTGATTTGAAGCTTGGTACAAGCCATGACATACTGACTTCAAAAGCATAAGTATTTGCATGTTTGCGTCATACAGGGGTAACAGCTACCAGAAAGAAGTTCGCCGCCGTCTGACGATGTTTGCCGTACAGCCGGACTAACAACGTTTCATGCGGCCTAAGCCTACGTTCTCCAGTTTTTCCTCCGCAAAGTCGGCGCGTTCTGGAGCAAACGACAAGCTTTCCGGATGATCGGCCGTGATCGCTCGGTTGCTCGGGTGGATCCACATTCGCCGTGCCAAGCACCAATGACGTCGGCCTGCGCTGTCTCCATGTCCATCGCGTGGCTCCGCGAAACCTTCGTATGCTTCAATCGCTTGGCGGCATCCAGACACACTGTGCCTGGCCTCCAGGTTCGACCAGAACGACATGCAAATGATAAGTGTGATGTCACTTTGCATTTGGCCCTTTCCATCGGGGCGCTATCATAACGTCTAGCAAACAGCAAAGCCAATGCCAGAGGTCGATGGTGCATGCCATCTCATCAAGTGCATGAGCGAACTCGGGTACGACGGCTCTGGTAATACCATGGTACCTGATTCCTCTGCAGAAGCCAGGGCGGAGACTGTCCGATGGGCGATGGAAGCAGGAGCACATTTGGTATAAGAGTCACCATGCTCGACATGTTGAAAGCCCATCATCACAACAATCAGCCTTCTCATCATCTCCACTCTATTCAAAACCGCTACACTCACTCTCAACAAGTCGAACTTCGATCAATCAATCAATCAATATGCTCTTCTCAAAGCTCACCATCATCTCCGCTCTTGCGGCCTTCGCTGCTGCTCAGGACACTGACTTCGACTTCGACAACATCCCCGCGGAGTGCACTGATGTCTGCGCACAAGTCGGTTCCATCACCAACGGTTGCAAGAACGACAGCAGTAAGTACCGCACCTAACAACGAACAATAAGAATCTAACAATGCTACAGACGACGACTCATCCGCTGTCCTCCAGTGCATCTGCACAGCCAACAACGCAAACCAGTTGATCCCACAGTGCGAGGCCTGCGTCAGGCAGTACAACGGCAACGACAACGACGACGGCAGCGACCAGTACCGTCTCCTCACCGACTGCGCATACCAGACCACCACCGTAGTTGGAGGAGGCGCTGGCGCAGTCCAAACAACGGCCGTCGACACCAACACTGTCACTGACACCAACACCGTTTCCGTCACCTCCGTCATCCAGACCACTTCCGTAGCCGTCATTGTCACCACCGGTAGCGACGGCCTCGTTGCCACCACCACCGAGACAGACACCGACACCAACACTGTCCCTGCCGAGACTAGCAACCCTGCTGCTATGAAGACTGCTGGCGCCGCCATGGGTATTGGTGCTCTTGGACTCGCTCTTGGTATGTTGTAAATCGACATCATGGTTTACTGCGAGATGGATATTTATGTAGTTAATGACTGGAAGAGGAGTTTGGAAGCTCAGCTATTAATCGTGGGAGCTTGAAAAAGTTCGATGACTGGGCATGTAATGACTGTATATATAATGCAATATGTCTTACCTTACATCGTCCATTGCTTAAGAAATCGGACGTGATGACGAGAACAACCGCGACATGAGATGACTTCCAAAAGGGTTCATTAGGTATGGCTCACATGGGCTGTTTCATCCTGGACTTCGCGGCCACATACACTTATCACCACCCAGATATACTTTGCATACATATGCCGGGAGTGTTTCCATGGGAAACTGACTGACGAAGGAGATCATGTTGACATGTTAGAGGAACACATCATCTTTTGTACCCTTCAGTACCATCATGCCAAATATTTCGTATACGGCAAACATCCATGAACTGGTACCGACGCCTTCACAAACCATGACCGTAGTCGACAACTCTACACTGGGCTATTGCTAACCCCTCCGAACACCGCTAGAAGTCAGATAGGCTCAGTGTCATGATCAAGCTTGGATGTCCCATTCAGCACTGTGGAGTCACGCGCCTACTCATCTGTATCCATAAGCATCGACGACCGCATCTTGACGTCTTCAAATCCGCGTCCAGAGTCAGTAAGCCTGGCTTTCTTACCAGCGAGGTGATGAGCTTGAATGAACTCCGGGAGATCAGCCAAAGCCAAGTCGCGGTATTTAGAGAGGTACGGTGCCTTGGGAAGGAGTTCACTGTACGCGATGCGACGGGTCTTGAACCACGTCTCGTTGTGAAGGGCGGCGTAGGTACCAAGAGCGGTAAGGGCGTTGTTGACGGCAGTATCGTCACAGATAGGGGCCCTGCAATACTTGGCAGTGAATATGCCCGTCTCCAGTACCAACTTCTCGAACTCGTCAAAGGTAGGTGACGATGGCTTGCCCAGGCTGTTGGCCAGTTCAATGTGTGCATAGTGCCTGAGGTTCTCCATCTGCCATTCGATAGCCAAGATGAGGACATCGACGTGGATATGGGAAGCCGTGATGCCTTTTGGGATGGGGGGCTTGGTGGAGGGGGGTGTAGTCGCATGATATAGCTGATGTTGATCTAGCATCTTAACGACGCGGTAGTCGCCAACGTGCTTGATGTGCGCGACACAGCAATCGATTGCATGAGCCGGATGGTTGGGCATCTTGATCGTCTGCGTCATTGGCGAGCTCTCCAAGAAACGTTAGTACCAGACCACTATATTGAAGCATCTAGCTGGAGTGTTTGTGCTTACCAAGTCTTTCGACATCTTCTGGGAATAGAGCATGGCGATACCCCTAGGCACTTTCCAAGCGCTATCATTGGGACCAGCAATGACGAGATCGCACAGCAAGCCATGGAATAGAAGACTCAACATACTGATTTGATCAGAGCCGGCCTACTTGCGCGCGGATGTGGGGTCACGTACCTTCCCTGAACTGTGTCTTTGCGCATCATGTCGTTTTTTGCCATTTTGCCCGACATCTTGAGCTTGGCGACGGCAGTGTGACAAGAGCCCCGCTTTGAAGCGGTGATATCGCGAGCGCCGGGAGTATCGATGGTGTAGTCCGCCTCGTCATCGTCGAGCTGGCGCTTCTTGGACGTCTTCTTGACCTTGCTTTCATTGGCGTTCTGGGTGGGCTTTGTCTGAACCGGTGTCGCCATGATGAGATTTTTGTTGTTGTGGCTCATAGTTACGGTCGTCTTGTTGTGCAGATAGTGATGGCCCCGCTCGATCAATCTCAGACTTTGGTCATGGACAGCTAAGCGAACAGAGACTAGACCTCTTTTGGTAGTAAGAGTGAAGTTGACCATCCTGTGGTCACTTCTAGCTCTCGAGATCAATCCGATAGACCGTTCAAAAGCTGGCTGTTATCCGAGAGTGCGTAGATTGGAGAAGTCAGGGTGGCGCGTATTGGCAACTTGCAAAATACACATGAGTGTTTTGTCTCGGAACCAGATCCAAAGGACGGTCAGTCAGGACTATTGACACGATCTCAACTCAAATATATCTTACCATGTATTCCGAACCATATCATCAGTAGCGACTTGGCTCGGACAATGTTGCATGGCAAGGATGGCTGTGTTGGGTTTGCTACTCTGCGATCGTGGGTTTTCTTTTTGGCTGCCGTAAGTTCGATTTCGGGCAGGCCCTTCCTTTTTGCACGCGTTCTCGGTAGAATAGAACTCAGTGAAAGGACATTGCTCGCACTCCCTATTAGGTAATTGCTTTGCGCCACACTGGTCGTTTCCTAACATATTTGTTTGCTCACTTCCTTTCCCTCACCTTCTTGCGCCCATAGAGCTGCTATCTCTGGATTTGAATCAGTCCAGCTAGGCGCCATGTTGTTTGCAATGACGCCGAAGTCCGCTGCTTCGAAATGGATGTCGCTCGAGAACCTTCTGCGGGTTGCCTCCAAGAACGACCATCTGAAGATACCGACGGTAGAAACTGAACGCGTCGGGTATGTCGATTCAGCCTTCTGAGTACTCGCACTGACCAGACAGGCATGCTAACAAGGTCCTTCACTCCAAGTTGGGTTGCGATCTTCTCCTCGATTCAAATGGAATTCTGTTCCCGGTACATTCAGCCTGGATGCTCGGTGGCCCAAGTGCGGATTGGATTCTGCAGTGTCTCTTTAAAGGCGTATGTATACCCAAATCCAAGTTACTGGAGCGTGGCGGTATGCTTACAGCGAAGACTTAGACTCCAGAGCGTCCGTGCGATATACCTTTTCCTGCATTCTCTTCAATCATTGTCGACCGATTCGTCAATTTCCTCTACCTCGGAACGTATCAACGAAATGTAGAGACGGAAGTGTCGAACATCGCGCATGCAGAGAATAAACCTGACAGAATCTACAACGATTTCACCCGCGACATGAAGTCGGTGGAATTCAGCCTGGAAATGATCAAGTTCGCTGAGTTTCTGAAATACCCGGCTTTAATCGACGCCGCGTACGCCAAGTTGATAGAACAGCTTCTCTTCAGAGGCCACTTTACGCCGATCGCCACGAAGGACTTTGTCAAGTGGACATATGGGGACGACAAGATATGTGAGGACGAAGAGGGGTTGCTGAAACATCTCATTGTCGCAGCTATCTTGGCGCATGGTTACAAGCACTGGGACCAGGTTCGGCGTGACGAGGTTTTCGGCCTCGTTCAACACCAGAAAGGGTTCGTCGATGATCTGGCAGCAGCGGAAGAGTTGAATAAGATGCTCTCGGGGTCACCACTAGGGTCTCAAAAGAAGGAGAAGAAGACGGGCTTCTTGGAAAGGAGACATGGTGCTAGCAAGTAGACAATTGACTGTATATTATGCAGCATGTTGATGAAAAAGGGATAGAGACGTTCAGCGCCGTCACTGAAAGCGCGGAAGAAGCCTACGTCTGAGTTTTGAAGGTCAGGCAGACCGATAAGGTAGCCTACTAGAGCAGACAAATGCAATACGGTAGAACAAATGGAGACGGAAGACTATGCGTAGCAGTTATGTCTCGGGCAAAGGTGTCGTGATGCATGCCGTGGGTATGATGTCTTTGGTGAGGAGGTGACGGGAGGAAGGAGCTGAGCACGTCTGACACGAGCGCCCCACACGCTAGCCCCCAATCGCGCAAACATCCATTAGGAAGAACACCAGAATATTGGACACGAAAAAAGGCGTCTTGGTTGATTTAGTCTACTCTACAAGTTTAATCGTTGAATCGGGTATATCACAAATGGCAACACTCCCCATCTACCCTATCTTCTCAACCGCCAACGAACCCTCCGCATCACCCTCCAACGCAATGAGCCCACACGACTCAATCTGCTTCTTCCACTTAGTCGACTCATACCTCGCCGTAATAACCGTCAACCTCAAAACCGGCTCTTCTTCACTAGAGCTCCCGCCAGCTGGTAACGGAACAGCTGTAAACGTCCAGCGACCGAATGACCAGTTCAGAATATATCTTGCTCGACCCTCCTGTACTTTCTGGTGCGCGCCCGCATCAGCGTCCGATGATTTCGGTGGCGTCGAAGAATACAATATGCCTTTTATCCGGTATACCTCGTCTTTTGTTGGGTCTTCGAGGAGTTTGGCGAGTTTCGCAGTGTCGACACTACTGTTTCCATCCTGGCTTTTCAGTGTGACTGTGAGGACCTCGACTTCGCTGGAATGATCATGGTCGTGTTCATGTGCGTGCGCGCTTCCATTCTCCTCAGTGACCCCTGCCAGCCTCGCATCCAGTCCAAACACAATATCCTTATCCACCCACCCCTTCCTGCTCTTCGTCCTGGGTATTTGTGGCTCCACCTCCAGGGCCAGCACTGCATCCTCAACATCCTCCAACCGTCTCTCGCTAACAAGCTCATGCTTGTTGAGAACAATGAGATCGGTGTAGCGTGCCTGCATTTTCGCCGTGTAGCTCGTGTCTTCGTAGCCCTTCCAATTCTCCACGTCAATCACACTCATCACGCCGTCTAGAACGTATTTGCCCGTCTCCCTGCTCAGCCGGTTTACTTCCATGGCGAGGGTTGCGGGGAAGGCAGAGCCGGAGGTCTCGATGACTATGCGGTCGGGGTTTACGTCGTTGGCGAGCGTTTCGAGGGCGTCGGAGAGCTGCCCGACGAGGTTGCAACATATGCATCCATTGAGCAATTCTTGCACGCCTGATATGGCGGCTGAGGAGGCAAGCGCTGTGTCGACTTTGATGTCGCCATATTCGTTCTTGAGGAGAGCGAGTTTGTAGGTTTTGGGTAATTGGGGGATTAGGTTCAGGATGAGCGCTGCGAGATTGTTAGCAGGACTACAAACTTGTTGACTGTGATTCACACGTTCCTGACTTCTTATCCACGCGCAATGCGACGCGCTGGTACTGTGGAACTAGGTGCGGAAGAAAGCAGCTGAAAATTACTACATACTTGTTTTTCCCGAGCCCAAGAAGCCCGTGATAATCGTGATGGGTATCATGGCGATGACGACAACAGCACAGACGCGTCGATCCAGCTGAAATCCCTCAAAGAAGCAATTCAAAATTCCAAGGTCACAGTCGCAAGGTTACCTAGGTAGTCGCAAGGTCGCTCGCACGTGCAAGACGCGATAGCGGAGCTTGGCCTCGCAAAGGGACTAGTTTCAGGTTCCGCGATGGCGGGGTGTCTGATGACGTCGGCGCGCATTTGGGCGGGGCAGTGCCGACCAAGAACCAGCATCGCATCAGGTACGTCGCCCGTAGCCTCCTTGCACGCTGCGACACGCACCTATCAAACGCGCTTAGCTCCAATACCAAGGCTTCTGTCACCAGGGACTAGATCTTGATTGACCCCATTGACCCATCGGTGCTCCCGTTTCCAAGATCAACCATCCCTGCCTTGCAATCAGCTGCTTAAATAGCTCTCTCTCCTCCAGTACACTCGGCTTATCACTCATCACAACCTCACACGACTACTTTTGCCTTTACTGCTCTGACTCTTTACTTACCTTACCTACCTTCAATTACAACAAACAAACATCATGGATTTCGTCAACAAGCTCGCTGGCGGTGGTAACAACCAAGGCCAGTCCGTCAACGAGCAGGTCGTCCAAGGCCAAGGCTCTGAGCAGAAGTCTTCCGGCTCCGGTGGCTTCCTCGGTGGCATCGGTGACAAGCTCAACTCCGCTGCTGGCGGCGGCAAGGAGAGCGAGAAGAACGAGGACTACCTCGACAAGGGTGTGTTGTCCTCCACCCCACCCACGTCTATCACACCCTGCTATGACTGTTGGACACGTACTAACTGTTTATACTAGGTGTCGACTTCGTCCAAGAGAAGTTCATGGGCCAGGGTGCTCAGGACAACGAGTCCGCCGTCGAGCAAGCCAAGGACGAACAGATCAGCGACTTCATCCGTGGCCAGTACAAGTCTACCACTGGCTCCGATATGCCCATCAAGGACAAGGAGACTCGTCTCGGTTAAGCTGCTGAGCTAGGACAAGGCGTGATGGTGGGTATACCATGAGCCGGGAGGACAGGAGATCCGCTGGCCATTGACTACGATCACAATGATATGGTTATGATAGTCATGAAATGAAACAATGACAATACACCACAAGCAAGAAAGTGATGTGATCTTGTCGACGGTGATATAATTCGTTTGCGTGATCTATACATTCCGGCAAGACCCCAACTGACGACGCAGCGATGCGTTGTTGACACACGCAAATCTACTACCCGTCTGCACCGTCATCAAACGCCTGATGCTTCCACCTTTTCCCGTGAACGATGGCCAGTCGCATCTCCATATAACACAACACATCTATATCTTACAGCTGCTCGATACCCTCAACAAGTCTATCAAGACTTGCTTCCGATCCCTCAGTCAGCAAACCCTTCATCATGCGCGACCTGCTTAATGTTAGCACTCATTCTCAGCATCCTCAGCCTAGGATACGACTTACAAGTTCCCCAGTTTACAAGCCCCCATGCTCTCCTCAAGCTCCGCACTCTTTATCTCCGCCACATCAATGACCTTCTCCGGTACCCTCGCCAACCGCGCAACGTTCAGCCCGTAAGACCGGTGGCTGATACCCTCCGTAGCTTCATACAAGAACACGACTTCCTTCCCGCCATTCTGCTCTTCAAAGCGCATGTGGACGTTCTTCAGCTCACCCTTGGGGAAGCGGCCTGACAGTTTGGCCAGATGCTGGTAATGCGTGATGAACAGCGTGAGTGACTGCAAGTCGCGGATAACATAGTCGAGCACTGCTTCTGCGATGGCGACACCGTCAAAGGTTGAGGTACCGCGGCCCAGCTCATCCAGGATGATGAGGGAACGGGGCGTTGCGGATTTGAGGATGTCGGAGGTTTCGTTCAGTTCGACCATGAAGGTAGATTCGCCTTTGAGCATGTTGTCAAAAGCGCCCATGCGGGTGAAGACCGCGTCTAGCATGCCGAGTCGCGCTTCCGTTGCGGGGACGTAGGAGCCGATTTGGCCCATGATGGCGATTAGAGCTGCAGATCGCACATAAGAGGATTTTCCGCCCATGTTGGGGCCTGTGATCAGTAGAGCACGGGTAGAATCGTGTGAAAGGGTGAGGTCGTTGGGGACGTAGTTTTCGAGGAGCAGTTGCTCCACCATAGGATGCCGACCGCCGGTGATGTTGAGCTCGATGTTGTCTGTGAAGGTCGGCTTGACGTAACCTGGCTGGTTTGCCAAGGTAGCCAGGGAGAGTAGGGCGTCGAGTGTGGCTAGAGAAGCTACACAGTCCCGCAGTTGTTGATACTTGGACGAGATCTCCTCTAACAAGCCCATGTAAGCTTTGTCGCATGCCGCCGCCAGCGACTCCTTGTATTGATCTCGCTCTTGTAGCATGCGCTTAACCTCTGGCGTGTGGAAACGTAATGTAGTCTTGGTAGCTGAGATCTGCTGCCACGAAGCAGGCACTTTCTTCTCTTCCGGTGCCTTCCTCTTGACCTCGATCAAATACTCAATGCCAGCTACAGTAACGAAGTCTACTTTGCTCTTCCCCAGCTTGGCAGCTGCATCTTTTCGGTGCGTGTTGAGGTCGTCTTCGACAGAGGCAATGCTCAATTTCAGATCGTTGATATCTTCGGCCTCATGTTCTTCACGGAAGAACGAGTACTTGTCGTCCTCTTTTGCGGCTTTGGCGTTGATCCTCTCCAGGAAGCTGTTCAAGTCATCGTAGATCTTCGGAACATTCGAAACAGCTTCGCTCAGTAATGACGAGGAGAAACCACTCTTTTCGGGTGTCTTCGCCGACAAGTATTGGCTCGAAATCTCCTGCAGACTTTGCAAAGCTGCCAACAGTTCTGGCCTAGTACACTTCTTGTAGTAGATGCGGATGAGCACCTTTTCGAGATCTGTCCTGATCTTTCCGAGCACGAACTTGAGCTTATCGACAGGGATCGTGTTCTCGCCCTCTTTGAGCTCTTCCACCGCTGCTATGCGCTCTTCTAATCTCTCCTTGTCTATGAGGGGTCGGCCAACCCACTTTCTCAGCAACCGTTGCCCAAAACGGGTCTTTGTTCTGTTCATGGTCCAGAACAAGCTGCCCTTCGAAGTGTAGTCCGTTTGGTTCTGGTAGATTTCCAGACTAGAGAGTGTGTTTCCGTTCAAGAGCATATAAGACCTGGCACTGAAAGGCTGGAAGTACTTTGTGAGATCGAAGACGTGTTCCAGGCCGTACTCGCTGAGATACGTGATCATTGCTGAGAGGCAGATGGTTACATGCTCCGACAACTGATGTACCTTGTCCAGAATAGCGCCCTGCTTTTCTGAGTCTGCTTCCTGGCTGGACTTCATCTTGCCCGCGTAGAAATTCGAGATGTG